CTTATGTAGAATAGTTTAAAATGATTTTGTTTGTATGTTAATAGAGATATTTTGATCAAACTTATTTGTTTTATACTAGGCTATTATTATTTTACTATAAAGACACTTTATTAGCCTCCTTGTTGCAGCAAACCTAGGTAATCGTTAAACGCAATGCTATTTTAGATTTAATTGAAAATCAAGTAAGTAAAACGGAAATTCGCTAGGTCTGCAGGTTTGCTGTGACGGGGGTATTTAATATTTTCTCTTACTCCTTGTGATCCTTTCCCCTTACGTAGTAAAGTAAAGAATTACAATTATTTTCAATAATCCCCTTTTATATAGAGCATGGAGGTAACTAATTTTATTACTGTATAAATAAATGTTTAAATATCGTAAAAAGTAATAATATTTCGAAACACCCTGTATGATGTGGTTTATTACACTTAAAACTACTCCTAATCGATTAAAATAACTAAAACCATCGAAAACCACACCTCACTCGACCTTAAACGTAAAAACAAAATTATTCAGGAAAGGGGGCCCTTCGGAGCAAAAAGGGCCTTAGGACGCCCAACATTTTGGAGACTCATCGGATCTTCATTTCTCATATTATTAGTAACTCACAGGTGAAATTTCATGAATGTACAAATTTTGTTGTTTATAAAACCCTATTTTACCTGTACTATGAAGCCAATTAAAGAACTAGGCGTGTAACAAAACTTGGTGTATATAAATGCACCTCAAGATTTTGATTTGAAAAAGGAAAAATATTTCTAACTAAGAAATCAGAGGGAGTTCAATAAAATGAACTGTAATGGAAACAATAAAAATTGAAATTGAATAGAATGTTAATTTGAAAGAAAATTAGAAAAGGAAATTATTACTACTGTATCTACGAAAGACCTCAAAATACGGCATCAATCACGATATCAGTTGAGAAATATTCCGATTCCTAGATTATATTTTGGTCGTTCCTCTGTGATTGACTTTGTCGAAACAATAATAAAACAACATCTATTTTATTAAAATAAAACCTAACAAAATTATTCATGGACCCACTTTTCATCTCTTAGCATTTATAACGAATACCCGGTGAATTTACTCGTTTTGATATTTATGTCAAGCTTATACCCACTTCGTTTGTAATACTGCAACTTTAAATAGTTGCAAAACTAGCTCAATGTGGTCCATTTTATTCCGTATATATTATATTACTAGCTGTAACCCGCGGGCTTTGCCCCGTTTAACTTCTTAATTTTCAAGATGATCTCGTTCGCATGGCTCAATCACGTCCTGGTTGATGTTCGTTCACTACGCTCACTCACCTTTAGGTTGGAGCTCGTTCGCTACGCTCACTTGCCTTCAGGTTACCTCGTTCACTATGCTAACTCGCCTCCAGGTTGAAGTTGGTTCGCTACGCTCACTCACCTTGTGCTGCACCCTGTTGGTAATCTTTGTAACTTTAATGCTATTGATTGAACATCATAGAACAGAAACAACTTGTTTAATTGAAACAGCTGTTAAGATTCATTAATTCCATTTCTCATAAGGTTAACATGGGAAACTCCAGAGCCACTGGGGCGGAGCCCAGAGGTCGGAGGGTAAAATCCTTTCTTAGTGAGCGTCTACTACCCAAAAGGAAGATGCCTGCCAAGTTTCAGGTTCCTAGGTCTTATGGTTTCTGAGATTTCGTGATGAGTGAGTGAATGAATGAGTCAGTGGTATTTGAGGCTTATGTAGATAGATTAGGCGTGTACTGATCGAACCATAGCTGGATAGTAATATCGAATAAAAATAGCTGATAGTTATGAAAACCAGCTAATATTTTAAAGATACCCTCTTTCATATACAAATTAGTGTGAAATTTAATTTTTTTACATTCAAAGACAACTGCATAGGCCTACTTTCACACTTCTCTAATACAATGTTCAATCTATTACATTATTAAAGTGATACAATCAAACTTTATGTAAACGGTTGAGGTCATTTACAAAATAAAAATACAGGCATATGGCACATAAAAATGAAGCTTAGAGTGTGTATATTTGCCGAAAAGTATTGATATGGACGGATTTCCTCAGGGCTCTGCCCCACAGGCTGATGTCCAAAGGGATACGCCTGGCATACTTCCAATGTTCACATGATTTAATTTAATTTAGCTAATGAAACAGCTGGTCAGTACAATGAACTGGTGTTTGTTTATTTACTCGAATAAGATGTTTGTGACGCTTTATGTAGATTGAGGAGGGTTATGTTTGGTTTTAAAGTGAGGTTGTATACGTTTTGTAAAGTATTGCTCAAAGTTTCATTTTTTCATTTATATTGTAAGCTACATGTGAAGAGGGTTGAATAAAATTGAAGAAAATGGTAAAACATGTTATTCATAAAGCATCAATATGAAGCAATAATTGATGCTATTGCTACACTAAGGTATGTTGTCGTATTCTAAGTGATCTATTAATATCAAAAGTAGGGGTTTGAAAGTAAGAAGAATTACACTTTTAAATCAGTTTATATTTTCAAACTAAATCATAGAGTTACTGCGTATTTTAAAACACACATCAGCACCACTTTATTAGCTCTCTAGGGCACATTTTCTTCCCGTTGCAAAGCACGGGTATAGCAGCTTGTTACATTTTACATTATTACAATATACATTTACATAGTGACTTTTAAAACATCCAAATCGATCAAGAGCTAGTAATGATAAGCTGTGTAAGGAGTTCTAAAGAAAGTCATCAATCGTAAGGGTGGTTCCCGGCTTTCATCCCCTTTGTCTTATTGCACCTCATCAGTTGGACGTTTGCCAATTTTCTTCCCTCCTAAAGCTTTTCTGTCTTCCCTAATAACATGGAAAATGGCCTCTCTTGTATGAAATCTTCTGGAAGTCTTAAAGGATAACAATTTCTATGTTGGCAAAGAATGTATTTCATTTTATTTTTTACAACTCATATATTTTAGTTGAAGATGGTCCATTTTTCTAGTGGAACATTTCTTTGTTAACTTTTAACGTTGTTTTAAAATAACTGAATCATCAAATAAGTTGATTTATTTTAAATGAGGTAGTATGAATGTTTGATATTACTGACTTGTAATTTGGAGTACTTATTTGATAACAAAAAATTAATATAAATTAATAAAAGCAGTCGTTTTTCTTCCTTCAATAGTAAAATTTATAAGGTCAAATTAGTTTTAACGAGAGCTCTCCCAGTGGTCGAAAAGTCGATCGAAAGTATGTATTTTGCAAACTTCTCTATTTTACCCCAAGCTGTAAATAAAACATGTGATTGGAATTTCTTCCATTTGTTTTTATTTTGTGTTTATTTTTTCGTCGCCAACATGGCAACCCAAAAGGCCCACCATGTTAATTTTTTTTAAATTACAAATTAATTTTTGGTAGTTATTTTGGGGCCTATTTTAATTTATACAGAGATTCTGCTTATCTACAGGAAAATATCTTTCATTTGGTACCAACCGCGTGAAATTGGGTCCAGTAGTATGGTCAGGCTAGCTGTCATAAGTTTTGCAAACGTTTTTTAGTATATAAGATTTTCACTGCATCAACAATTCTCGTTCATGCCTGTATCATAATGTAAATAAATATTTCCTCATATTAAATTTATTTGAAAATTTTGTTGAAATGTTTCAGCAAATATATTCAAAGTTGGTTAGAATAGAATCCCGAAATATAATTGTGGTTATAAAATTAAAAGATTTAATACTCTCAGCTTTTTCTTGAAATAAGCATATCATTTAAATTATTTTTCTTGTTGGGTTTTACGTAGTTTTGTTTCTCCCATGTTAAATTTAAACAAATTTTAGCATAAATAAAAAAAATAATATTTTTTCATGCTTCAAAATTACTGTAAAATGTATTTGCTTTAGTTATCAAATAATGAATGTACCATAAATTTAACTATTTTATTCAATGATGTGAGTAAACATAAAAAATATTCATTGTAGTTTGAAACAGACTTGTTAACTTCATAAAAATCTGAGGCAATTAGAGCTGACTAACAGGCATTAAAAGTGAGTTTCTGCAAACGCAACGGTATAAAGATGATTTTTGCAAATTAACTCTAAATTATTATGAATTATTTTAATGGTTTAATTTCACTAATTGAAGCTAAACTCCATCCAAAACCGTTTACATAAACGGATTAAAACGATAAAAAATCTCTCGATAATGATCCAGATTAGAGCATTTTTTTAAATTTTACTATTAAATAGAGTCCGGTGTTTGTTTTTAAGTTTATTGTATGGTAAATCTTTATAGTATTTCTATCTAAAGGGTGTGATTACTTAATAATAAATCCTTTATAAAAGTGTGTGAGATTTTTATTTACATACTATTGCATTACCTTACCTTGTTTTTATTATATTATATAGAAATTCGTGTCGCTCAAAATATAATCTAGTTTATTACGGGTGCTAAGCAAGGAGTTTCAAATGCCACAGAATTGAAAGTGTTTTTTCGTTAACTCACGCGGAATCGTTTGACCTACTTTGTCTTTTATGTAGGTCAAGGCCTCTGTTTTCTTTGAACTGGTTTGGATAGTGAAGGAACTATTTTTTTATTAATCACACAGTTATATTCATTATATAACTAGGAAAAGTTAAATGCAGATTTATTCTCAACTTATGTATTTTTAGGATAAATACTTATTGTATGCTTCTGTAGTAAGAATTTTAAAATTGGATTTCCTTCTGTCATTGGTAGGATTTTTAAAATTAATTATATTATCTCTGAGAAAAATGATAAACAATTTTTTCTATTATTGCAACTAAATTTAAAATATTTGAGCACGATTAAGCATTGAAGAAAATACAAGAAATAGTATACACAATTTATGTTTAACGAGTGTCTCTTTTACCACAATAATTTGAGGTGGGAAACTAAAACTCTGTAAAGTCAAAGTTTGTTTTTTACGAATCTGAATTTCAAAAATCAACACATTCAAACCAAAATTGAAAAATAAATAATATATATATATATATATATATACATGTTGACCTACCCTAGGTACTCCCGTGAGGCGATGGACTCCCACGACATACCGATGACGTCACCACTACCACCGCGATACACTAACTGAGCTCCGTACAGCATCCGAAGCCGCCCGAATGCCCGACCCACCCCTGACGCCCGCCCGCTGCACAATCAATACGACTTATTGTGCTTCACGGCCGAGACCCGTTTTTGGGGAAGGTCCTGAAACTGGGTTAACCCACCTTTACGACAATGGTAACCCGGTGTCAAGGGATGACTTAATGTATGTAACTTTGTAGCAAAACACTTTAGTCTAGGGAGTTGTACTGTGATACGGACTGCGTTATGTTTCCGGGTATTGTATTTATTTAGTTTTTTGTGAGACAAGGTATTCAAATTTTTATGAAGACATGAACATTGTATGACAGGATTTATGACAGGATGAAAATTGTACAAACAAACATTAAAGGAAACACATTTTTCGGTTGCAGTTTGACCATCGTTTTTGTGTGTAAAATTTACTAAGGAGTAAAAAATATTTTGCGTACTCCAATTTTTGAGAGTACATCAAGGGATGAACACGTTGCTGTCATATATTAGAGGACAATTTTATTGATTTGGTGTGATTCGCGTTGAAAAATGCAAGCGTTCATTTATGAACGGATGTTCAGTAGCATTTGGATTAAACATTTTGGTTTCCTGTTAGTTTTGTTAGCGTAGCTTTTTACTTAGTTAAAAACTGTCCGTTGTGCAATCTAAATTGTCATCATAGATCAAGGAATGACAACAAAATAAATAGAAACAAAATGTATTAGGGTGGTAACAAAGTCTTCATGAATTTAGATACATAAAATATCCTTCCATTCTCATGTCAAATATCTCGAAAATATGTTTAAAGTTAACGTGGCAGCAAACTTTGAATGACTTCTTTGTGGTAGGCTTTCAAACTAATATACAATTCACATTCAACAATGCATTGCACTTAGCGTGGTGTTGTAAGCAGACAGTAGGGATTCTTATTATGCTGCAACGGGGATGCAGAAAGCACTTCTTTATTGTTGGCAGTTTCAACATTTCACCGTTTTTGTGCGTTGTTTTTTAAGAATTTAAAATTCTACATAGTGAACTTCAATGAAGAATACAATAGTTTCTAATGGGCACTAAATTAAATTTAGAGCAGGTGGTTCTACCCAAATTTTTCATTCATTTACTAAAGCTATGCACTTAACCGATGAATTTTACGATTTTTAAGCGGCAATTTAACCAATATGTGAAAATACCCTGAAAACATTATATAATGCTTTATATATTTGCGTTAATGCTTTATATTCTTTGTAATATAATATTAATAATTAGTAGTATAGAATAAATTTAAAGTTATATTTCATACTTTTCCTGATTCATTTTAGGCATAGTATAAAATGCCTAGTAATTCTATAGAATGTCTGATACTTTGCCTGTAATGTCTGATATTTTCTGGTTGTATTTTTTCTGTATTTCTGGTTTTTTTTTACCTTTTTTATGAAACGATCCAAACCCTGGTCTTGATTCAATCTAGCTTTTTGTAACCCAACATTAGTAGCCCAATGACAAATTGCATCTGTTTGCAGAATAATGAACTCCACGTTTGATTTGTTAGCTTTACTTTATAAAATTGAAATAATATTTCATAACATAAAAACTAATCCAGTTTGATTTCACACATAAAAAGGAAACTTTTAATTTAAGAATACTGTAAATAATCAAGTTAAAGTATTCATGATATTTGGGTGCTATATAAATTTTAACCTAGATTCGTCCTATGTTTTCTAATTCCACTGTTTCAATTTAAACTAAATTGCTGCCAGGAATTAATGAGATTTCAAGTTACTTAGATTTGTTTTGGAGGCAGAGAGACTCCGCATTAATAAATCTCACTGAGCTCCTACCGAGTCAGACGATTTAAGAGACGTTTTTAACAATAGATTTCTCATGAAGATTTCATCTTGTCTCGCTGTTATGAATTACAAATTTTTCGTATTTCAATATTGACATTCTCAGCCTGAAGGATTTCAGTTGTGCTTGCCAGCGTAAAAATGCATTTACAGACTTTTATTGCACTAAACCATTTTTTACCTCTTTCTACAAAAAATAAATCCACAAACCTATAAAAAATAACCGATAATATATAAAACCGTAGTTTAGCTATTCAAAAGCGTGACATTAAACCTCTTAACATATCCTCCTCAACATAACATTAACAGTAACAACACTATTTTAAAAACCTACAAAAGCACCTAAATTAAGTTTGTGCAATTTATAACCAGTAATTCCTAGCAAGACCATTCATCATACTGTGTACTGTATGAATGTGTCCACAGTTCAAATGATAATAAAAAAATAGTGCCAAAAATTATATTCTTTAAGCTAAATATTTATGTAGAGGCATCACTTTAAAACGGGCTGGTTTTAGACGTATTTGCTTGACTTAATTATTATTATGTATAGCAACAGACACAAGAACCAGACAGCTATGCATAATGAAACTTCTTCAAACCATATTCCAAACTTGGGAAGACTGTTTTTTTAATAAACAAAACTATTTTGGAAAAAAATAATATAAGGTTTAAAATTGCTAATTTTCATAGTCACTTGACTGGAGTGATGCTAAAATTAAAACAAGGTTAGGTGCCTACTGAAGTTAAGTCGTAGTTATTTTTATTTTCTGATTAGATACGACGAGTTCTATTAATATTAATGTTAACTAATTAACCAATATAAAGAAATTATGTATGTCCTGAGTCTAACTATTTTCACATAAAACCCACAGACAGTGTGTAAAAAAGTTAAGTCACCATTAAGGGCTTAAAAGCCAATTAAAAGTTGCGGGTGCTTTTAATAGGATTGCACGGCTTTACGTGGCAAAAACTCAATGACAAACTTAAGCCGATAAAATGTTTGTGCTGCGCCCTGCGGAACGGTACCAAAGCATTAATCTTTTTACGGAAGTTAAAAGAGAAAGGAAGTCCTAAAACAATTAATTGCCAGAGTTCATGGGCAATATGAGTAATGCTCCCATTTATTTGACACTTGATATTCCAAATTGACAAGACGTTGTTAATTTGTGGTTGATCCAGGCTTAGCAACGTTACAAGACATGTACAGCTACCATACATCATCCTGTGTAATACAATTCATTTTCAGTCTGATATATGCAAACAAGAAGTCATCGTTACATCTTTTTAAATTGCTCATGTAAAATTATCTAAATTTTACTTGTACTTATATTTTTTTTTTTCAAAGGTGACATAGTTTTTAAAGGACTTTTCAAGTTTGTCATTACACAGTTTTCATTATTTTTTACTGACTGTAGTTAGCTAGACTCATACAGTCAAAATCCCAATTATAATATGTTTTCTGGTATGAAGCTATACGCTATTCATGTACCTATAGAAAAGTTCGAACAATATATTGCCATTTAAAAAAAATCTAAAATTACGTGTTCTTGATTGAAGATCTATAATATTGTGTTTGGAACTGGGCCTACCTATAATTTAAGAAATTAGTCTATTTTTGTAAAACATCTTACTCTACTTACTATAAACATGTACTCTTAAGTACATTGTTTGTATTACCAAGTTTATGGTGTGAAATAGTTATTTTCCTACAGTTACCTAACAATGTACATGTTCTCTCACTGATTTGAGAAAGCAAAGTGGCCAATTCGCTCATCAGTGAGACAATATTAACATTGTTTCACTCTAATTACTTTGTCTCACTCCAGATTTGCAACGTGAAGGCACGTTTCTTTACCAATTTATTTGTTTTATGGTAACCGTAGGAAAAATATAATGTGCAACTCGAGTGTAAAGTACAATTGCTCACTAGTTGCACAAATAACTATTGTGTAACTAGTTGGCGAAGTGGCACTTTGCTGCACACGAGAGAAATGTTTACGCACGAGCCGTAGGCGAGTGTGGAAAGTTTCTCGAGTGCTGCAAAGGCAGTTTGCACTCGTGTTACACATTATATTATTCCTACAGTTAAATCATATAATTAATTAATTAGTCTTTCAAACACTATACTACACGTTTTTAGGTTAAGTTAAATCCAAACACTAAACGAAATGGTAAACGCTGCATCAGCTGATCGTAGTCGTAATATCTTTAAGTGTTGCCAACTTATTTTCAAGCGTATAGGGATAACCTGCATAATAAAAGCACGCTGTTTTGCGTTGTTGGTTGGAAAACTGGTGTGCGCCAAAGTAACGTTTTTTGTACTATAATTTGTGCAAGGAAGCCCACTTTGTAGGGTGACTTTAGGACAAGATTATTGTGATAATTTTCCATCACTGATTGGTTATCACACCTCATAGATGCTCAAGATTCTCTAACGGTTGTAATGAGTAGGTAATGTTGTTTTTTTAACTGTTTTATCCTTAGAAATTTAGGGTACCCCTGAACACCATTTAAAATAAATATGTTAATGTGCACTCCCATTTTGTAAGGGTATTCCTCGAATACTGTTTGATATAGAAAAACACTTTCAAGTGCTAGAATTACAACTAACTAAATTATAACTTAAATTTCAATATAATAATTGTAGGTAAGTTGTATAGGTTGTTTAAAGAAATTGCAATTCAAGGTTTGCACAGTTTGTTAACCAATCTCAGAACTTGTGTTATTTGTAGAGTGAAATAACCGACAATGAGAAGGTAGCAACAATAATTTAAACAACTATTGAATTGTTACAATTTTTGAAGTTTGTTATAACCAACATACAGCATACAAAAACAAACTATGCAAACATTGAATTGCTCCTAGCTTTAGACTTATTAGTGATCGAACTAAGGCACTCTGCCTGCATTCGAGAGAAGTAAACAATGGAATACGAAGATCCGAGCAACTCCTCCTTTTATTGTTTCTCAGGAAATTTATAGCACTTAGGAACCTCTTTCTTAAAGTGAAGCCTCAAGTTTATTAACCACGCCGTTCTTGCTCATGAATTTGTTGGTTGAAGAAATTAAATTAACTTTTTCGTCTTCATGTCAAGAAGAAGATCCGATCCTTTACGATGGAAAATAAAAGTATTATATATTAAATTTTTAC